TACACGAACAATGCACATGTTATAAAAAGAGTTATAAACAAGCAAAAAAACATAAAAATGATACTTGTTTAAATAATTGAACTCTCAAAAACAAAATAACAATTATTCAACTGACCTGTGATCGCTCCTTGACACACACACACTAATAACAAATTGGATTGAACAATCATTTTAATGCAAAATAAAAATAATAATTGAATAATGAGCAATTACAGACACGCGTCTAAGAGACCAGTCCAGCTTGTTGTCTAGTCTAGTTGCGTATTATCTATCTCCCGTTCGGTACCTACCCTTTCAGTATGCTTTTTCGTTATGGCGCGTCCGGTTCCTATAAACTTGGTTGCAACATTTACTTTTATTCAGTAAACGTTTTTTTTTTAAAGTTAGGATTTGAAGAATAAATATTTTAAATAGATGATTTTCCTCAATAGAAACTGGATTTTCTATAATGGATATGTCATAATGATGTATGATTTCTTTTAAAAGATGCACTTATTATACATAGGCGTATGCAGAAGCATATTCACGTCCCCTTTCAATTTATGTTTTCGTTCCCTAGTATTCCATAGTTTCGTCGACTTGAACAGTTGAACGACTATACCGAAAGTACCTACTCCAAAAAGTAAGCACCTATTAGAAGAAATTGCTGCTAACTACCGATAATAAATAATATTTAATTTAATAAATTAATTACGGTTATTAATCTCATTAATTTTTTCACAAAATAAATTGATAATGAACACGCAGGTGTAAATAAATGATTTGCCTCTAATTATACGAGACCTATCCAGTTGTCGGACAGAGAAAGAAAAAGGGCTCGATGCCCTTTCGGGCTTAAAAGACAGTTGAAAGGGCCCGCAACCTAAATAAGGATTAATCAGGGGATGCCAGCACTAAATGACAGTTTGTCCTTTTTGCGGTATTTAATTGCTTTAGGGTCGTAATAAAGGTTCGCACATATTAACAATTCTATGTTTGGAAAAGGGCAAACCAAGCGAAAGCTTTGTTGTTTTTATAGACAAAATTTATGTTAATTAAAATAATATGTGGATCTGGTAAAAGAAATTATAAATCAATATGACATCTAATATAGAAAATCCAATATTATGTATATTGGTCTATTATTGTGATACTATTGGCTATTGAGTAATACAAGGTTTTGATACCTATCTTTATCAATTAGGTATTATTATAAATTGTTTAATATAAAAGATGTTTCTTTTTTTTTAAGCAATGCTGTCTTCGCCAACTTAACTCAACCTGCAGAAATAAAATTATCTACACTAAAAACTAAAACTGATCACGTCGTGTTGCCAAGTTTACACGTCTTGATCTAAATATTATCACATCTCCCCCTTCAGTTAGGAAATTATATTATTTATAAAATATTACACAAAGTACAAAGACTTCTAACCCATAACATTGTAGCAAGACGCACTCAAGTACTCTATTTAATTAATTAGATGGTAAATGGCGAGCGGTATATTGATGGTGTTTATTTCCTTGAGCTGCTACCTATAAAATTGTGGAGGGGTCTATTCGCAAAAGAGAGAAAAAACTATTGAGGTTTACTAAATTATATTTTATTATACATAAACCAAAATTTTAAATAAGCAAATATCTCTCTATTCCGACAGCCACTTTTTCCCCATCATTATTACGGACCAGGAAATACACTACAAAAAAAAACGCCCTACTTCTACTATTCTTAATAATTTATAAATTTATACATTACTCTTTCAAACAACACTTCTGATTCACATTCCTATTAAAACTACCCTTCACCTATATCTATAAATTCTTAAAAAGTCCTTTACTGACTGCTTATGGAAAATAATTATTCGTCATAATCCGAATCACAAGTATATATGTATTACCAACTATATTTTTATAAAATCTTACAATAATTTCTTAATGATTAAAACCATAATCCAAAATTTCAGCACTTAAGGTCATCAATGTTACAAGATGAACAACAATTTTCAAACAAAACTTTTTATCAATTTCATCAGAATAATTACCATTTTTGGATTCCTAGCCAACATACACAATCATTTAAATTCTTATTATTTCGTTATTATAGCCCTTCAAATTCAATTGGACAATCCAATTCAAAATTCTTTAATAATTCCTACTCAAAATCGGATATTGCTACGAGCATTATAATTTCCCCTTTTAATTCTTTGCAAAATTAATTAAAATGTCATTATACTCGAAGGCAATTAAATTTATGCAATAATGTTCCGTAGTCAAAACACTCGAATTATTAATATTTATGCAATAAAGTTCCAAAGTTAATTCACTTCATAGTCATTCATCATTTATAAAGTCAAAAATTTTACTAGTCACAAGAGTAATTACATTTAACTCTTCAAACGTAAAATTACTTAATTTAATTTACTTCAAAAATCTCTAAAGCACGCACATAATGGTGAACGAATTTAAATGTTCGCGTTTCTCCGCGTTTTCCCCGAGGCAAAAATAAAAGAAACTCTCGCGAATTTTTATCCGGACTGACTCATTAGGTACTGTAGATTTTAACTCAAACTGGACCGAACCAAAAACTCAACTGAACTGATAACTGCTCCTCCACTTCTAAAACCGCTGTATTTATATATTTCGTTCCCCCAAAAATTCTAATTTTCATGATTCAATAACCTTCCTCTTTTGTTTGTTTAAAATCGAATAATTATGTCGCAATTTCCTGGTTTATCGGGGTCAACAGATTTGGTTCTTTTAACTCAAAGAATACCGACACACGTGTGACCATAAATCACCTATTTAATTACTTGGGCCTCGCTTTTAATAAGTTCATTGATTTGATTTAGGAGATGATATCACGCTTGGTGACTAAATAATAAAATTTTAACGTATATAAATATTTTAATCTAATTTGGGGTCAACGCTAATTTGATTCATTTTCAATTTATCGATACTGATTTGAAATACCGGAAATTCAGTTTTTGATTATTTGATTACATTTAATTTTTACAGTCTTTACTGTGCAAATTACGGGTCTATTTTCGCGGGTCAATACAACATAATCATTAAATTTGGATGGCAACTCCACAAAATTTTTTCCAGCACTGGGAATGATAAAGCTATTATTATCACTTCCAATGTCAGAGTCAGGTGAGCTATCAAAGAAAGTTCTATGAGGCTGAGATACTTGAAAGCTATTTCCATCATTGAGAAGCTCTTTAGATGTACGATTAAGCCTTAAATAAACTATTTCGACGCACTTCTTGGCGCTTACCCTTTTGAACAGTGTATGACCTAAAACAGACGTTGTAATTTTGCCTGGTTGTAATGCCTACCCTCTTTTACATTTACCCTGGATCATTTTCATTTTCCTCTAATTTAAATTAATATAAAATGCTACAATTTTGGAACAAATAGTAAAACAATCAATTTTAGTTTTAAGAATGTTTATTAATTATAATTAAATAAATTAATGAATAAACAATATGTTTATCTTGGTAACTGTAAATTCTGGTTGGGAAATCTCTGGCATCAACTTCTGTTTTCTTATGGGTGTCTTCAAGAACCTAGAAAGAGAAAAAAAATAAATAAAAGAAAAATGAGACAAATCACCGATTACTTTTGTGATATAAAAACTTACCTGTATCTATCCCAAAACTAATTCAGATTCCGCTATTGTGGAGTTTCTCTTTGCTCACCCATTTTCAAATTTTTCTATTTTTTCATCAAAGTTAAATCCAACCCTGGTATTTGGTCTATTTTAAATTACGGCTGGCCTTGTCACCGTTCAGCGAATATTTTTGGGGGGATCTCCCACCGCCTTGAACTTGGTTCACGGTTGTAGCAGGGAGGCTTCGTTTTGGTACCAGTGCTCACGGAACCTTTGTCAAGAGCTTTGAAAACTCTAAAATCCGTCCGTATCGCCCTTTTGATTTTTATCAAGATTTGTAGAAGTTGGCGGAGACCACAAAATATTTTGTGAGCTCAGTAGATCCAGTTTCCAGATATATGGTTCTTGAGCGATTTTATGAGTTATTTGGGATGATTATTTCGCGTAAGTTGCACGTGCCTCGTGGTAAGAATTTAACATCTTCTAATGGTTTTTTATCTTTATAGATCCATTTTTGATTATCCAGTTTGCTTTCGATTGGCATTAAATTGCTGCTGATGTTCGCATTGAAATTTTCACTTCCTAATTTATTGGAGGGTCCTAATCAGAGTCCAAATCCAAATCCAAGTCCAATAGGCCGTCGGCGGACAAGCGTTTGCGTTCAAAAACCCGGTATTGACGTATAATTTATTGAGACTAGTATCACATGATTCAGCATATTTTTCTCCATAGAAAATCGAAATGGACGACTTTTTTCATTGGTCGAGAGCTAAGTTAAGAGCAAAAAACTAAAAATATTCGGGAATTAAAATTTCCAACTTTAACCTCGTACAACTTCTAAACCGCTCGAGGTAATAAAATGATTTTTCGTCTAGATTCAAGAAAAACTTATTCTCTTCAATATGGTATATATATTATTTGAAAAATTTCAAAGTAAAGCTCAAAAAATCAGTTATTACGTAGGCACGGCGCGATTGAATAAAATATATGTTTGCTTTAACCTGCGATAACTCCTTCATATATAGGAGTATTCAATTAATTTTTTGCTCAAAAACTGGCAAATTTAATTGTTGGCTTTCTTTTGACTCGATTATATACCGACCTATTTTCAATAATAAACTTAATAGAGCCATTTAAAGACGATGGCGCACGGTCCGATGATGATGGAGTTGCGTTGACTCCGTCTCTGACCTCGTACACCGACCGCACGTGCGTCCAAATAGTTACCAATATTCCCAATTATTCCTGCTGGCAGTGTTGGCAAAGTTTCCATTATTCCAGCGTTTGTATTGTATTATTATAGTAGTTAATGTATATTGTTGATAGTGTAATGTAATGTAGTGTACTCAATATTTTTGTGTTATGAAGGTAAGAGGTAAATATTGATTTTATTGAGGAAAAACTCGAGGAAAAATGATAAACAAAAGTACAATACTTGGTAAATATAAATGAACATAAAAGGTTTGAGTATTTCTAAATATTTAACAAAACTCTAATAAGTCGTCTTCAGCGTCGTCTAACAACTCTACGACCTCAATGTTAGTGCACTTCATATTGCACTTGCAATCACTCGAACAAAAAACTCCTTCAGATTTACAGGCACATTTGCTATTGTTGCAATTCTTTTCTGTACAAAATAGGCTAATAACTTTTCGTATTTCATCTGGAATGGGCGTCTTATTGGTGAATTTTGGCGAAAGGCAGTTATTTGTATCAATTGTCCATCCATAATTTTTCGGGTCTAATCTATCAACTAAGCCAATATGACTCATTGTCCAGAGACGAACTTGATAATAACATCTGTAAAACCAAAGTAGAAATGCTTAAAATACATTTAGTACGTCTATTAGTTGTGGTAATATAAGGTCTGTTTCTGCAGAAATCACAAATTGGTTAGAGCGAATTTCATTGGTTGAAAACAGTCAGGTAACTACTTTCAACCAATGAAATTCACTCTGACAAGTTTGTGATTTCTGCAGAAACAGACTTATAATCACATTCAATAATTTATTTTCCTACGAACGTGCGGATAGTAATCATAAACCGCTCACATTTGCGAGTGGAAAGTTGTACTTTTCGGCACTATAGGGCAACATAGTACGTTTTTCCACAGCAATACGTGCGAAAAAAACTATACCCAACACGTGCGAAAAGTGTCTTTTCCGCTTAATACTTGCCCCCACTCGTGTGCAGAAAAAAAATCGTATTAGGTAATGTGCGACAAGTGAGTGAACCGTGGTAACGTATGAAGTAGCAGAGAGGAAGACGAAAATCTATACTATACGACGCGACGGGTCCCCGACGTGGTGCATTGCGAAAATTGCGTTTACCCTGACGCGACGACCCGCGTATAAGTATATTTTATCTCGGGCCAATCAGGAGGGTTATGCCCGCATTCCTTCCATACAGGTTCATTCACTTGTCGCAGTTTAATTACCTGAGTACATGCAGATAAAAGGCGTCTTCAGTGGGGGGAATTTCTTTCGCAGACTTCTTCGTTTCCTTCGTCATTTTCTGTCGGACTTCGTTTAAATCTTTACATTTATCGTTTCTATATAAGGATAGAGTAAACTTTCTAGCAGAGTCCAGACCTTGTTCAATAGAGGTTTTTCCAAAAGAGTGCAGATCAAATTGCTGGTGGTTCCGAAAATATATTTGCCAGGCAGATTTTTTTCCAATTTTAAAGAAGGAATTAGTGGTATCACATCCGGTTATGGCGTGGAAAGCTGGTAATCCATCCGAAATTGGCTTTTGTAAGTTCTGCGCAATTAAGTGAATAGGAACAAATCGTTTTTTATTAGTGGATGTAGTGTTGTGACCTTTTTCCATATAGATTTCCGATGCATTTAACTTTTTGTCATTCCAATAGAAATAGATCAATAAAACCAATACATCAGTGTCGTCTGACTTAACAACAATGGGGCTCCCAGTGGAACTATGCACTAGGTGAAAAATAAGCCGGGTATCAGCTTCTTCATGATTAGACTGTAACAATTCATCGACAGTAACTCCCGAATTTTTGACCTGAAAATTATTTGTATTTGAAAAAAAATCAACTCAAAACAAAGTACTTGTTTACCTTAATACTCATACTTCCATCTTGAAGGCCTCCGGCTATCCAAAGAACTTTTTCCGGTGGTAGCTTTGGTGACGACTTAATTAAATATTGTGTCACAAACTTGATTAATGACATTTTGTTTGATGTAGATTTCAAAAAGTCTTTATAGTTCGGGACTTTTCTAGAACTAACTATAGAATAAGTTCCTATCTTATGCTGACCCCTTCTTTGGCGCTCAGCGCTTTTAATCGAGTCGTCCATATCATATCTGTCAAAAACTATCGATACCATACAACAAACAGGATTCTCGTTAAATATCCTCATTAACTTTTTTAAAATGACATCCCCAAGATCTTCAAATGTTTTGAAAGTCTTTTCATTTAATTCCAGGAAAAGTAACATTCCATCTATGAAGTAACTGCCGATGTTTTGTGGTTTTTCAGGGGATATTGTGACTAATGATTCTAATTTATTGGCTAAGTCTGACTTAGCTGTTTTCCTCATCGTACCATCTTCATTGAATATGGAAACAGGGACAGGCGTTAATTCATAGCTGAGAATATCAGCGAGGTCAAGTTCTTTAAATTGAACAGCGCTAATAATCCTTCGGAACATAAATTCAGGGTTAGTTTCTTTTCGATCTACATTCTGTTTAAAGGAAATTTTGTCAAAAGCAAAGAATTTCGTTTGATCTCGAGGCACAGCTTTCCAAAAGCTTACATTACCATCACAAGAAAGCCTCTCTTCTACAAACTTTTTAACATTAAGCGAAGCATGTTCTTTAATATTAGAAATAGACTGCTTTACAATATCTGAAGCTACTTTACCGGTAGCAATATGTATTAAATCCTTTGAAAAGTTATTTGTATTAAAGGGATTTACCCATGTAGATTCTACTAAATCTAACATTTTATTAATATCTTCTTCATCTCTAAGATTTTCACACATACTGTACATCTTACTGTTTTTATTAAAATTGGATATTAGGTCATGTACTTTACTAGAGTACTCTCCCATTAGATGCCGCGTTATGAGCCATCTCACCAAGGTTGGTTCGCTTCTTGTGAAGCCCACCACGCCACCAGAACTTTTACAATCTCGATTAATTGTCTGCTCCAAAGCCATGTCTGATGCAACACAATTAAATTTTTTTGTGTCAGTTCTTCTAACAACAAAATTTCCGTTTTTGAGGTATTGGTACATTTTGGGCTTTTTCAGTTTAAGATTTTCCATATCTAGCAAATAAATAGGAGTGTAACGAGCATAGTTACTACGCCCACCTGCTCTGAGAAAAGGAAGAGTTTCTTGGACCGCTTCCAAATGTAATTCAAAATCAGCATTACGTTCAGATCTCAGGAGCTTAAGTAGTATGTCAGCTGCTTCAATAAACAAAAACCAATATTTAAATGTTGGTGAATTTTGGCAACCAAACTCTATGAACTGGATAAGATATTTGTTAAATTCCTCCGATTTACTAAAGATATTTCCTAGGGTCTTCTCATATTCATCGATAGAATGTTTTTCATTAAACATATTTTCGAAATTGTTAAGGGCGTCTTGCATATCTTCAGTAAATAAGGATAATCCGTGATTCTCTTCTAGCCACAATTCCATTGATTTGAAGAGCAGTCTGTGTAAAGTATCTGAGACTAGTAAAATCCCGCGAATGGAACGATATAAATGCTTGCCTTGCAACATCTGCCTACAAGAAGCTTCTGCGTATACTCCAGATTCAACCAGGATATTTATTAGTCCGCCATCCGTGAAGATACTTCCGATACTGGCAATAAAAGCCATCATCAGGTGCATTCCACCTAACTGCATGGTTACTTTGTCAGATAGAGCAGGTGGATTATTCCATAAGATTTCCCGTGCCTTGCAGTATATTGCTAAATCAGCGGTAACTACAATATGATCTTGCCCTATATTCTCTGCTATCTTAACTAATTGTACAAGTGCGGTAAAAATTGTATCGAAAGTTGACGGGGGAGCATTAATAAATGGATAATAAAACACATTTGAGACTGGTAAATTATTGCTAGAAATAATGTTATTGAATTCACTCCATCCGATAAATGTACTAGTATTTTTTTTATATCTCAATATCATCCATAATTTATCCGTGGTGATACCTTTAGATTGTTTCAAACAAAAACAGTTCTCCAGTATATTTTTCCCAAATTTTTGCGGTTCCGGGCGTTGTGTAGGTTTTTTATAGGAAATAAGTTCTTGTTCTAAACTAAAATTTGTGTTTTCACCAAGCGAACGCTTAGTTTGTCTCTCAATTGACGGTTTGTTTAAAATTTCAGAATTTTTCTGAAAAATGACCATTGCCATTGAATGAGTTGTGGCTTTTCCATCCAACGTCTCCTCATTCAAATCAAAGTTGTCAATACTGGCATGTATCAAGTTGTCATTCTGATTATTGACTTGAATTAGCCCTTGTGGTATAAAGATGTTGCTTTCAGTACTTTCGATTTGATCTGTTGCTATGGAAGTTAAAAACTTGCGCATTTCATCGTAAGAAATTCCATATCCAAAATTGTATAAAATGTCTAATATTTTTTTACTTCTAACGGTTTGATAAATATAAATGGAAAGGCCTAAACTGAGAGTAGAGATAAAATTAATTTTATCGAAACCGTTTAAAATGGATGAACATATTGCTATAACGTTAACATCAAATTTATCCTCCGAGAGGTCATTAAAAAATCTTTCGTTCATTATCCAAGTCAAAAACTTGTACAAACTATCCGGAATTTCATCTCTACAATTGATAGGATTTATGGCTTTCGGAGTTACATATACTTTAGTTTTGTCTTTTTGATGGTCTAAAATTGACTGCCGTAAAATGCCTGCTGCTTTATGCAAAACTATATTCTCATTTTCCCCACATTTACTAGGTATAAACTCTTCCTCAGATGAGTCGGAATCCTCTTGATCGAGAGAAGAACATAGGTATTAATTCGTATTCATGTTCTCTTGAAATGGTGAGAGTAGGTTTTCCAGGAGATGAAATAAAAGATATGGTATCTCCAAAATGATTTTCAAGTTTTTTTCTTAAATTGCCAGTACTTTCTGAAATCTCATAATCTGCATTTTGTTCTTCTATTATTTTTTCAAAGTAATTACACAGGGTCGAGAGTTTTACACATTTCTTTTGCTGTAAAATTTCTTCTGCAATTTTTTTGAAAAGTGTATTAAAAGCGTCTTGCATAGAATTTTGTGTTTCATCAGCAGCTTGTTTTCTATTGCTTATGTATTGCGCGTAACAAGCACTGTGATATTTTGCATCCGCAGCGAAAAGATCAGTATAAAACTTCATTCTACCTTGCATAACATCATCACCTCTTTGTACAGCACTTTTTAAAATCTTTTCTCGGGTACTACTCCCTGTACCTGTACTAATAGATATTAGGTTTTTCTTTCTATAAGTGCCGCTTTTACCACAAATTAAGCAGTCACTTTTTATATCAAACTTCTTACCACTACGACCGCTGCTTGATGGAAATACTTTGGTTATGTTTGGGTTATTCACATTCACTACTTTGTCGATATTATTTTTGCTGCAAAAAGATTTTCTGCAACTTATATGATATTTGAATCTTTCTGGATTAGCGTTTATTTCTTCTCTTCGGGACAATATTTGTAAAGAAATAGCATCTTTTCTTTTTTCTGCTGCAGAAAAAATTGTCGCATAGCCCTGTCTTGTTGGCTTTTTAACACAAGGTGATTCCGCCGTTAATGTTTTGCAACATAAAATACAAACATTATCCATGACGTCAATGGTAGTCCGTCTACAAAATTTAAAAAATTTAAAGTAGTAGATACCTTCGTAAAGCGTAAAAAAGGGATAATTTCATTCATTTGTCAAATATATCAATTAATTGGACAAGTGGTAGATGCTGACGTGACAGACCAATCATACTTGAAATTATACGGAATAATAATAATTTCATTCACCATTACATCAATTTCAAATAATGGCAAAAATTAATTCTCGAATTAAATTGTTATGTTTGAATGCATAATTTTAATAATCATATTAAGTAAACGGTAATTTTGGGCAGTTAACTTCTTATGTTACTATTACTGAAAATATCATCTTACCTGCATAAACTCCTAATGCAAGCAGAACCCGATAAACCAGACTTTTCATAAAAATAACACAAAATTCCATAAACAGGGAAAATGCACTGTAATCGACGCTGAACGCAGTGTACGGCGTCGCACATCATTTTTAATTCATGCCAGTGGTCGTCAGCGGGCTACAGGAAAGAGACGGAGAGCCACACAACTTCTAACGCCAGACCGCGCTTTGTTGTCTTTAAACGGCTCTATTGAGTTTATTATTGAAAATAGGTCGGTATATAATTGAGTCAAAAGAAAGCCAATTAAATTTGCCAATTTTTGAGCAAAAAATTAATTCAATACTCCAATATATAAAAAAGTTATCGCAGGTTGAAGCAAACATATATTTTATTAAATCTCGCCGTGTCTACGAAATAATTGATTTTTTGAGCTCTACTTTGATATGTTTCAAATAATATATACACCATATTAAAGAGAATATTTTTATCTAGAATCTAGAAGAAAAATCATTCTATTACCTTAAGCGGTTTAGAAGTTATACGAGGTTAGAGTTGGAAATTTTAGTTTCCGTATATTTTTAGTTTTTTGCTCCTAACTTGGCTCTCGACCAATGAAAAAAGTCGTCCATTTCGATTTCATACGCAGAAAAATATGCTGAATCATCTGATACTAGTCTCAATAAATTATACCTCAATACCGGGTTGCTCCTTAAAACGAAGGCTTTTACGCGCTCCGCCGCCGTTCTATTAACCTTCGGTTCCAAGTTCAGTGTTGTGTGTACTCTAACACCCCAACTTGGAGACCAGTAAACCGTCAAAAAGGAAAACCCAATGGTAAAGGTAAAATCTAATCTAAAAACCCTGAAAGAGGACAAATACTTATAACTTAGAACCCTTTTATACTTATAATATATATTAGAGCATATTATGAAATAAATATGGGAAAATCCCCTGAAATCCATAAGTTTCCTTTTAAAAACAATTCCCCTTAAATAATCAGCCCATTAATGCCCCTTTTGAAAACGATTAATGAGTTTTTTTTTTTACTGACAAATGGCCTCTCGTGGAGGTCAAATTGCCCCTTTTTTATAGAATCACAAATATTTACAAAAATTACTAATAAGCTAAACTAAATATTGATAATGAAAAAGGAAAATTCAGAAAGATAAAAACGTTTAAATTTACTTGGTTACTATTTGGGCTAGTTGAACCAAACGTGCTCTCTTTTCGCATCGACAACTCAACAAAATGGCGTAGACCTTTGTCTGCAGAAAATTCCGAGTGGTTGGCTCACCAATACGGGGACTTACAACAAAATCCAAGTTTCACCCCAAAACCAATAATTAAGCCAGCAACCACTTGAGTTTCCAACGCCTACAAAATCCCACAAAAGGTGGATGTTCCCAAGAACGCAGCAAGGAAAGACCGCTAGAGGGAAATCTGCCACTTTTTGTTTGCTCGACGTGCGAAATCAAAAGGACGACCTCAATTTCAGCGATTTATTAGGTGAGCTCAATATATGAATAATTTTCTAGAATTCCATTTTTTTTCACGATGCCCTTTGGTGCCACATTTCCGGTCTTGACCAGGAAAACGGAACAATCAGCTTGAAACGGAACAACTCAAATCACAATGATGACAAACGAAACCCAAAGTTGTTATCAAATTTTCTCCCCCAACACCAATTAACACTAATTAATTACTTATACACTGAGAAATTTTTTTCATTGTCATAGCTAATTTTTCTGCTGCCGTAGCCAAATATTTTGGCTACATAGGGGACAGCCAAGATCTTTACTACCGCCGAAAAATAACTTTACTGGCACCGTTTATTTGCGGTAGCAAAGTGACTTTATAAAGAATTTACTCACAGTTTCTACAAGGTCACTTTGCTGGCATAGAAAAGCTACTTTGCTGTCGTAGGAAAGTAACTATGCTGTCCTAGAAAAGAGGTTATATACCCTCAAAAACATCCTTTTTTGCTATTGAAAAGTAGATTGCTAAGACAGAAAAGATATTTGTTGTTGTTATTAGAAATGCTTCCTGAAATAGGAAAGCGTTTGTCTCAGAACAAAAAATTTCTTGCCAGAATCAGCCAAGTGTTTTATTAGCCATGGGAAGTTATTTGTCTCACCAATAGCAAAATTATTTTGCTGGAAATCTTTGGAAATATGTAGTAGCGCGTCCATCATAACCAAACCAGGAGATAAACAAACTCTATTTAAACCCCTAAACTTTCATTACCTGATCTGAAATAATGTCAATTTATGAAAAGTTTGGCGCTAGAGTTGTTTCTGCTAGTTTTGATGGATGCGCTGGCACCATTTCCAAAAAGATTCCCAGCGACCGACACTCGACTTGACTCGACAGCATCCACGATCCACACCGTACGGCGTTAGCTACTAAACTAAAATGGAAGAAAATGAACACGAAACATATTTTATCGGTTATTTTTGGACCCGAAGAAATCACGGAAATGTCCGAACGGTATTTTTAGTTAAGTTATTTGGCTAGGGTAGCAAAAAACATTACTGTAACAATAACAAAAATTACAGGATTTTTTTTTGCTGCAACAGTAAAGTATCTATCTATCTTAGAAAAGTTCTATTTCGGAGAAGCAGAAATATTTTCATAAAATTTTAATTTTGCTATAACCGCAAAGTTTGGTTTTGGAATGAAAAATATCTTTGTAGTTTCAGCAAAGTGGTCTTTTCTGTAGGAGCAAAATAACATTGCTACCTCTGAAACATTTTCCACTGTAACAGCTAAAAAAAAACCAGCAAAGAATTTTCTCCTGGGACTTTTCTCAGTGTAGTAGTTATTAATCAACATCTACCCAGTCTTCAATCTAAAAACTATCAAAATGACCAGTGACTGTTTAGTGATCACAACTACAGTGACTCTATTATCCACAGTGGTCAAGAAACCTCTACAACAACGCTACCTGAAATGAAACAACAAGTGGTCCCATAACCACACTTATTCGGCGGAAAATAAACAACCAGAAAATGTGAAAAATAGAGGAAATAAGGGTGGCAAAGCGATTTAAAGGCTGTGAAAGTGATGTGTGATGTTGCATAGTTTTTGATAATGGAAATTACGTGACTCGTAAGTGTTTTAAATTGATATTAATTTGAAAGTAAAAAAACCTTTCCATCGATATTTAGGGCCTTTCAGACAACTTTCGAAAGCTGAATAAAATGGATTTCGATCCTAACAGTAGGGCTTTATCATCCTAAAACTACCCTGTCATCTGAATACAAAGAATTACCTCAGAATTACCTCGAAAAATATACCTTTATTCAACAACTAGATATTGTTTCGCATCCAAACAAAAAGGTAGAAATCTAGTAAAATTCAATGAGCAACCTATCAATTACTAAAAATATTAATCCTCATGTATAGGTCCAGCTTTATATATACCCTCACAAATACCTGAAATAATTACTGAATTTATTTGAAATCTCCAATTATGTTCTAAGGCAAAATTTGAACGTAACAAGACTGAAGACACAATGACAAATACAAGAGACAAAAATACAATTACACGTGTATCAATGCTATAACCCAGAATAAATGGATACAGGATACAATTTACTTGCCATGTCACGATACAAAATTTCGATTCTATGGTATTTTGTATCCGTCTCTTGTACCTAGTATTTGTCATTGTGTTTCCAGCCTAAAGCATTTTTCAAAAAAAAATCTTGTGATACATTATTTAGATAATATATAACGTTAGTTGTTATAATCTAACCTAGTAGGGATTCTCCAGCTAGCTCAAAAATAGAATAGTCCTACTAAGTTATTGCATGAGACTCTAAGGGCTGTGATTTCTTGTTCTGTTGGATTATAGTAAACACCTCAAGGAAAGACAAAAGTAACATTTACTCAAGCGTATATTATTATATGATTTATTTAAATAATACAGGAAATGTGAGATTAGTACCTACAGTAAGCATGTAAAGGTTGGAATAAAATCTATAAAATATACAGGGTGGATATTTTTCAAAAATCCTGGGACACGTCAATTTTTGATTTTATTGGCCGTTTTTTTGATGATAATACCATATATACAGATTAGGAATTAAAAATATCTACTTATATATGTAAAACTTTGGCGAGCTAAGCTCCCACTTTGAATATTTTAAACAATTAAACAAGATCCGTACACTTACGGTTAATCGAGGGGGAAACCACCTTAGAATTTTGGTGTATAAACTAATGGAATTTTTCAGAATTTCTTAGAATTTTTTAGAATTATCAGTATTTTTTTAGCATTTTTTAGTATTTTCTAGCATTTTCTAGAATTATTTAGAATTTTTTAGTATTTTTTAGAATTGAATTAGAAATAATTTAGAATTTTCACCTATTGCGCATGCTCAAGAGCCTGCGCACTACACAATCTGTAGGGATTTTTGGAAATCTTTTTGAATTTTTAAAGTTTTTCGAGAATTAGCATTTTTCATAATTTTAGAATTTTTGATGTAAAAAATTAGGTAGGTCGGTTCCCCTGAGCGGGAAACCTTCTTAAAATTTTGGTGTACATACAGGCTGATCTATTAAAAATGTCACCCCCTTTCAACTTTTTCATTTGACATTTTTGACAAAAGTGTCAAGCACAAAAGTTTCAATAAATTGTCGAAAGTTTTTAACTAACTTCACACTGCTGCACTTTTTTGATGCA